CAGTTTACTGAGATGAATCAGTATTTTGAAGTATATGTACAATGTTACATAATACCTTTGTTGTCTAATTTCTACATAGACAACCATTTTAAATGCTCTCTATATTTTCTTCCTCTTAGATCTGAGAGAAGCTGATTGTTTTTCAATGCAGTGAGCTCTCGGAATCTCAAAGACGCCTTTATCTTGTGTTTTTTTAATTTTTAATGAGCATAGTTAAATAGTGACTGAAATATCTCAAACCTTAGCAATACTCTTTAGAGCTCTCTTAGCTACATAGCACTCACAGTTTAGTGTATAAGTGATAGGTTCAAGCCTTTTGTTGCCATCTTTATTTAATTTAACTATTTCACTGCTGTTTGGCTTAAAATAAATAGGCAAATACCCTAACTGATTTTTATCTAGCTATTCAAAGTGTCTGAAACAGTGTGATAACAAAAAAATCATTGACTTGCCTGGGGAAAACTCTACCTCAAAATTTTAGAGTTTCCAGTATGTAAGTTTGACAAATTATAACCTTTGTAGTTTGTAACTCATTTTACGTGCAAGACAATAATATGTATTTTGTATTACATATTTTCAATGTTACAGTTTTATGTATGAAGAAAGAATAGGTTATCTTCTTTTATGATATGAAAATTAGTTTTTCTCTAAAGATATGCATGGTATACATGGTATTGATTTTTTTTTTCTTTTTTTTTTTTATAAGTGTGGTGCTGATTGTCACTACAAGTTGCTGTTGAGTTGTTTCTTGTTTTTGTTTTTTTCATGTGCTGCTCTCAGGGAAAGTCACAAGTCATACTTATGTACTCTTTGCTCTCACTGTGCCAAGACTGTGAAGATCAGTTTTGACTTGCCATTTTACATATTTGTAGCCTATTCGCCAAGGGCTTATTCAGGAAAGGGGTGTCATTAACATAGAGCATTTGGCTGGATTTTAACTTGGTTTGTCATTTTGTTGCCATATTGGACAATATGCTCAATGTGTCATAATGCAGTAGTAATCTTCAATGAAGGGTAATAAATTTACACCAGCCAGACTGATTGTTATTAAATTTTCATTTGGCTTTGTTATTTGTAGACTAGTTTGCCAAGATTGCCTGAAGAATGCCTCTCAAATTATCGGAATATAATTTGACTTGCCCTGGTATTAATCATGTCATGTTGTGAGAAACTGTATCAGTTTCACTTTATTGTTCTCTATTTTCCCATGTGTCATATTGTGCAGTATTGGAGTCGATAGGAAGAAATCTGTGTTTATTGAACAATACCCATGACTTCGGATTGTTTGTGCAATTGCTACGCCACCCTCATCATGACGTACAGTAAAACACTCCAACCATGTTTTATTCTGTTTGAAAGCAAAAATTACCCAAACATGTTTTTGTGCACCCCATTGTAACATGGTTCTAGTTCCTGGAAACTAAATTGGATTTGTAGCGATTGCTTGTTTTTTTGTTTTTTTTCAGCATTTCTCATAACTTGTAAAGCAAATTGTTATTTTGGGCGACTGCACATACTTGAATCCTTGAAACAAAGTTGTGAAATCAAACTTGTTTTCGTGTCACGGTTTTGTTCTCCAACTACAATATTGTCAGTACTTCTGTGCCTTATTATTCAGCGAGGTTATATATATTATAGATTATGTGCCTAATCAGGACTTCAACTATTGTTGTAAAGGGTTTTTGTATAGTGTGATATAAGTGCTCCAGTCTTCTCTCTGGATTAGCTGTTTGGTTTTGCAGGAACTAAATGCACTAGCTGCTTAATAGTTATTTGAAGTATGATTGAGGCAAGAGCAAAGTAAAATATCATCTTCTGCCATGTATCGTATGGTTTGCATGCCCCTCTCTTCGCATAATCCTTTGGCTACTTAAACCGTTGTTTTATTGCTTTATGAATCTTTTCTTCAAGTTTTTAATGAGTGGACCAGTTTCTGCCACTGTTTCTTATGGATCACTTGCTCCAAATTTCAACGGGGAAGTTAAAGCCATGGTGTTACAGACTGATTAGTTATAATATTATGTCTGAAGCTGAAAGATTTTATTTCCATAGACATCCTTAAACTGCAATATTCAAATGTTGAGATTGCACACTAACATGTCTACAATGTATTGGCAAACTGAATACTGTACTATTATTTTGCGCATCATGAGAGGGTTTTGTACAAATTTGGTCGGTCAAAACTACTGTTGCCCTTCTATATACATATATCTATATATCTATGTTGTATTTTGAAAGTATTGGATGTACATAGTACATACTTTACAATGTTTTATTAGCACCAATACTCAACTCTCTGTGAAATTGTATGAAAATTTTCAGAGTCTAATTTAGTTAATGTTTTCAATTGAGGCTTGCAATTACATAATTGGCCATGATGTGTGATTTTTTTTTGTTTTTGAAAAAAAGATTTGAGTGAGATATCTATTTATGTGTGGTTTTTTTTTAACGAACTTGTTATGTTACATTGTATAAGTTAAATTAATGCTTGTTTTCTGTACTACCTAATATTTAAATCCTTTCATTTCTTATTTATTTTTGGGTTAGTAACATAGCAGTAAGGCTTTTGATTGATCAAGAAAGAAAGTTAAATGTTGAGAAACACAAAATCTTCAGGCGGGAAGAATTCAAACCATTTCTTTTATTGAGTGTTATTGAATGTTGTGATTTTTTAAAGAGGCTGTTGTTCCAGATTATTGTAACCCACGTACCATTACTATGTGCTTCTCTTAACTTATTTTATCATACATGTCCATACATTCATATGCATGTTGTAACAAAGTTCCTGTTTTAAAGGCAGCTGAAATCAGTATTATTTTCATCAAGATTCATATCAAACATTGTTGATACTGATGGCAATTATTCATGCTCATATGTTTTCTCCATTGTTGAATATTCATAGTTGTGATTGTCCAACAGAATTACTTTTACTCAGTGACAACTCTTCATTAAATCTCTGCCATAGTTATCTTGATCTGGAACAACGCCTTTCTGTTGTTGAGCTTTTGCTCATTGTGTGTAAAAAACAAAGAGTATTGACAACAATTAACCATTGTTGCACACCAAACTACTTAACATTATTGTTGGACCTATTGGTATTATTATTTTGTTTTTTCAAACAGATGAATTACAATGTACTTCAATGTTTATTTCTCTTTGCATACAAGCAGTGCGGCCATTTATGGTCATCATCGTTACTTTTGTTCTATTGGCCCCGTACTATGGTAGTGTGTTTTAAGTGTTAATGCGGAAGTCAGCATCTGCACATTTGTACTTATTATATGGACTGGCTACTTCTTAAAATCGGAATTTTAGCCGAAGCCTGCATGGCAAACATTTTTTAAGATAACACACCAGTGGCCTTTTTAGGGAACAATAACAAACAGCATAATATTTACTACTTTATGTGGTACATTTGGGTTGCATTTATGGGTAATGCTGCCACCTTGTAAACTAAAATCTGAAATGCTGTTATAGGTGATGTGACGTAAAGATGATCAAAGATCTCGAGCCACCTCTGTATTTATTTATTTATGTATGAGTTTGTTGCATTTGATATTTGTATGAGTTAAAATGATTTGTTTTAAATTATTGTGGGTTGAGTTTTTAATACCATTAAACTGGTTAACATTTTCTCTTGGTTGAAGTTTATAGACTTAATGTGGTAATAACATGGTTAACTAAAAGTGTTTTAATGGAGTTTTTCTTTGTTCTTTTTATAGAAGAAAATAGCTATAGTTAACTTAAAGACTCACAGGAATGTAGGACTGACGAGTAGTTATTATTAATAAAAAAAACTTTTTTTACCAATGGTTTTAATCATCTTATTGTACGTACAATCCTGCAACTTTTAAAGTGTAAGAATCTGAGCTTAGTCCAGTCCTGCCTAACGGGAGACAAGGACAAGAAGCGGGAAAAAAAGATTGCCCCGGCCGAGAGTTGATCTTAGGGCCGACAGTTTGAGTTCGGATGAAATTGCATGTGGTCGTGTCGGTTGTAGGTACAACTGTTTAGCTACAAAAGGGGCGTGTGGCTGGGGGCGTCGGATATCATACATTGACCAAATGAGGATTTTCTATAGTCGGGCCGGATTAAGGTGACTGGCCGTCAGGTTTGTGGTCATAAAAGTGTGACCGCAGACAGGGACGTCAGTGCATGCTCTCATAGCACCTGATAGGTAGGCAGAATCTTGCTTGCAGTACACGTGTGTAGTGCGGGTTTGCCTACCCTGAGTCTCGCAGGCGCCCAGCTCGCGTAATATGCCGAATGAATCCAAGAAAAACGGACGTAGTTTCTGACGACCCTTAACTTAGCCACGGAGGGATACTGCTGACGACCTCTCCAGGGGGACACGCCAATCTACGCTGTCGCGGGTGGTAAAAAACTTCTTCATTTTTATGGTCGCAAAGCTAGCTTGGGGAGGGGAAGTCCGCTGTGGCCGGCGCCTGCAAGCTCATGGCCAGCAGAGCGGGAAAAGAGTTCCGCGGACGGTATTCGAACCAGTGACTGTCACCACGCTCTGCCAACGAACACGCGCGAACACACATGAGCACGCTCGACTACCAGGCTGCACTTCCCCCCTGGGGGGTTTGAGCTCGTCAGGCCACTCTCTGGAGAGAGACACTATCGACACGGCAACGATACCAAGGTTGTTTTTGTAAATTCATTTACTGCAATTATGAAATGTTAAATAGACATTTAAAAAAATTCATTTCAGTAAACAATTTTATACTGATGTTAAAAAGAAAGTTAAAATCAATAGTTTATAGAACTATAATAAAATTAAACAGAAAATCAACTGTATAGGCTTAAAACTAAACTCAAAATCAAATATAGATAGAATTTAAAAAAAAATCAAACATCAAAAATAACCAAAACAGATATAAATAAATGCCACATTTGAAGTTAAAGGCAGTCACGGCGGGCTGTAGATGCTGGTAATATTATCGCTCGTGTTCTCCTGAGAGCTTGGAAGATCGGACTGTAATAAAAATACAATTAAGCCATGGAGTAGAACTATAATGGAGAAGCAGCTAAGTACGTTGAAATGTGTGCCGCGCTGGCTGGCGAAGCTATCTCCTCTAAAGCCAATGTGCTTAGAAATCTCACCCACTCAGTTTTTGGAAGCCTATGATCTACTGCAGCTAATGATGCCCTTGTTTTGAGTGTAGCATCATTCAAACTGGAGCTACGTTGCCTGGAACGTCGCAGATCGGTTTTTGGCTGTGTGCCACCCGTGTATGTAGAGAGAGACAGACAGAGTGAGGGTCATATTTCTTCAAATAGGGCAACTGAATTAAAAGTTTTTACTTCAAATTCTTCTTTTTGTACACAACCGTGAAGACCCTGAACGCTACAGA